GATCGGGGTGAATGGCCCAGGGGGGAGCAATGCATGACCACGGCCACCGCGGCCACGTCGGCGGCTGGGCGGCAGGGCCGCGCAGGGCATCTGTTCGAGGAGTTTGCACTCGGAGGTTTCGTTCTCATGCGTCTGCTGTTTGACGTGCCTGTCTGTGCCCCTGCGCGCGCGGTCGATCGCGCAGCGCGCGCTGGAAGGGCCACGGCGCAGCGAGTCAGAACCCGAGGCGGCACGTGGCAGTCCTCTTGACGGGCTGATAGTGGTCGAGGGCTCTGCGCTGGGCCCTCTCCTCCTGCCCCTTCCTCGCAGTAGGCATCGTGCGAAGGAAGGCACATCACATCTACTTTCCCGCGTCTAGCTCGAGAGAGCCGCTCGCGATGTTGCGCGCGACATGTCGACGCAGGGTGCGCCGGTCGGAGGCGCTGGGCCTCCTGGGCACCTCTTCGGGCCATCTTGGGGCCATTCTGAGAGGAGATCGATAAAAAGAGGGGGGCTCCTCTAATTAGGGTCTCCCCCAGGAGGCCAAAAATGTGGCCAAAACTTGTGTAAAATCCATGCTTTGGGCTTCTCGCCGAAGCCTCCTGGGGCCTCTCGGGTGCCTCTGGGAGGCCTCTTGGAGCGTCTTGGAGGTCTCTTGGGAGCCTCTTGGGGGCATCTTGGGGGCCTATTGGGGGCCTCTTCTGGACACCTCTTAGGGCCGTCTTGGGGCACCCTTGGGAGCCTCGGAGGCCATCTTGGGGCCATCTGAAAGGAGATCTATCAAAGGAAGGGAGCTTCCTAATTATCCCTCCCTCCCGGAGGCCAAAATGTAGCCAAAACCTTGTCGAAAACAATAAGCTCACTCCCACCCGCCCTCCCAACAAATAAGAAACACCCGAGCCTCAGCATGTTCAGCGGTCGTCTTTGGATGGATAGCTACTGGGAACCAAAACCGATCAAATGTGCGGACCGCTGGGGCGAGGTGCGCCACGCGTGCCAGGCTGCGCGCCACGCGCGCCGGGCACCCCTGGGGCCCGAGTGTACCAGGCACACCTGCTGCGCCAGATGCGCCACGTGCTCATGCGCCGCATACTCCAGCCGCGCCAGTTCGGGGCACGCGCAGAGTGTGTCAGGTGCGCCTGCGCACGTGACAGCACACATCGGGAAACATGTCGGCCCCACCCATCCTTGTCGAACAGCAATGCCCATCATTGTGTCTGGTGGGTCTGCGCACAGCAGGACATACGCCACCGTCCCCGCCGTCCCTGTCAAAAACGACTTGACAGTGATCGCGGGGTGGTCCGTTTAAGCCGCGAGATGTATTTCGTATTGTTTTTCGTTTCCGGATGGTAGCCTTGCGCACAGCAGGCAATATGCTCACACCCCCGACGCCCTTGTCAAAAACAATACAAAGTGTTCGCGGGCGTCACGAACATGACCTAAGACTTTGCCCCAAAGTGTACTTTGGATTGTTTCTTGACAGGGGTGGTGGAGGGGGAGCGCATCGGGTTGGCCGCGCGTGCTCCAAATGTGGAGGCAGAGTGCGTGTTGTTTTGTTTCTTGACAACGATGGTGAGGGGGGCGCGCATGGTTCTTGGTTGGCCGCCGGTCGCCTGGGGGAGGGGGTGTAAGTTAATCAGGATTAGTGATAGAGGCCCCCCCAAGACCGCAAACCGTTTCGCTCACTCCCGCCGGGCCTCCCAACACATACGTAGTACCCGAGTCTCAGCACATCGCCGAGGAGCGCCAAGCATGCCATGTGCGCCACGGGTTCGGGTGCACCAGGCACCCTGGAGGCCCAAGCGTGCGAGGCGCGGCAAGTGCGCTATTGCACAGTCATCACCAGGTGGATTCTGTATTTTTTGTTTGACAGGGATGGTTGGCTTGCGCGCATCAAGCAGTATGACGGCACCCCCCGTCCCTATCAAAAACCAGTGCAGAGTGGTCGCGAGGCGCTTGCCGAGTGGTCGCGAGGCGCCCGCGCATGCTCCGGGTTCGGAAGCAAAGTACATTGTGTATTGTTTTTTGACAGGGACGGTCGGCTTGCGCGCAGATTGTGCGTAACAAACAGCATGCCGGCACCCCCGCCGTCCCTGTCAAAAACCACGGCAGTGTGGTCGCGGGGCGCCCGCGCATGCTCGAGATTTGGAGGCAGAGTGCATTCTGTATTGTTTTTGGCAGGGATGGTGGGGGGTGGAGGGACGTGTCCAGGGTTGGCCCACAGTCGGGCGGGGGAAGGAGTGTTGAGTCATCAGGAGCAGTGGGAAGCCCTTCACCGAAGGGGAAGAAGGGTGTCGGAAGAGGAAACTCGCTAAACCATTCACGCCCTAAAGGGCTGGTGGAACTAGGGTTGGCCGAGAGGGCTGGCTGGGGGTAGCCGGAGGACTGGCCGGGGAAAGTCTTCTTGGGTATTCTTTTTTCCGTAAGGACGAGCAGGATAGGCTACCCCTCCTTGCTTCCCGGCGCCGTCGTCTCTCGCTTGAGCCGCCCCTCTCCCGCTGCAAGGGCTGGGGCAGCGGCTTCTGCGGCATCAACGCCAATCCTCATCTGTGCGCTGCCCAGCTGCTCCGAACGCACTCTGCCCGACGACAGGCATGAGGACGAGGAGGTAGCAGGAGGATGAGGAGTTTTCTCAGCTCTCAGAAGCCATCATCGCCAAGGCTGAACTCTCGGCTAGAGATCCTGGTCAGAACGCGCTCGAGGAGAGGTCTGGGGGTCGATCTAGATGAGAAGGGGGAGGTGGCACGGTGCAGAGGCTCGATTGCACAGCGCGGTCGTTTGTTCATAACCGAATCGGGCAAAGTGGGGAGATTGGGAAAGGCGGGGGGTACGAGATCTTGAACATGCAGCTGGCTTCGACCCCGCCGCCAGGAGTTTTCCCGACACATGGGCGCCTCCTGCGCCAGGAAAGTTAGCAGCGTGAGTTGATTGATTCATCTCCCCGTTGATAGCCCCACCTTTCGTCCGAGCCAGAATAAGCAGTTGCCAGTTGGGACTCGATTCTAGCCTTGATGGGTGTTTCGAGGAACAAGGGAGAGGAGGAGGAGGAGGAGGAGGACGACGACGACGACGAGGAAGCAGCTGCCACCTCGGATTCCATCCAAGATCCCGAGGCTTATGTGCTCCGACATTGGTCAGACCTCGCCTGGGCTGGAGAAGCCGTGCATCGTGTCGTGGCGGCGTCTGAGAGGAGAAGGAGGAAGAGGAGGAGGAGGAGGAAGAGGAGGAGGAACAGCAGAAGCAGCATTGAGAAAAGGTAAGCTGACGAATGGGGGGATGATTTTGGGCAATTGCGGAGAAGGCGAAGGAGGAAGCGGATGAGGAGAAAGATCAGCAGCAGCAGAAGGAACACGGAGGAGGGGGGAGGAGAGAGAGAAATGCTCAGGTGCCCTCAGTTTTTGGACGAGCTGGCCGAAACCGACGAGGAGGGCGCCAAGAACATACTCTGCCACGACGGCGGTGGTGACCGCAGCAGTGGTAAAGGATGAGCTGGAGGTGGGGTAGGTGAGAAGCCAGCCAGGTTACGCCCTTCACGTCGCATGTGAACCGCATTGTAGGTGTGTGGAGATGGTTTGGGATGGAAGGGGGGGTATGGAAACATCTCATGCGGAGGGGAACCGATAATCCCAGCCTAGGGGTGGGGGTGAGTCGAATTTCTGAGGAAACAGAATGTATCCGATGGCCATTGGTTCATCCCGCCACCGTGCTCGGGTTGTAGATCAGAGGCCTCTTGGATGATTGTGGGGATCTCTTTGGTGGCCTCTCGGAAGCCCAGCCGAAGCGGTTTGGGGACGTCTTGGGGGCCCCTTGGAGGCCTCTTGGAGGCCTGATTTCCGTCCACTGGGGGCCGCCTGGGGCTTCGGGGGGAGGCCAGTGGTGCCCTGCTGCGGGCTCGCCTCGATGTCAGCAAGCTTCTTGGCCCAGACGGCCACGATCCCCGGTGCAAGACAACACGGTGCGCGTGGCCGTGCATCCACCCCCGCCACCAGCCGACCCCGCACTCCTCGACGGCCTCTGCACCCCTGGGGCACCCTTAGGGGGGGGGGGGGGGTCACTACCTCTTGGGGCGCCTTTGGGGCCCTCCTTGGGGCCGTCTGGAGGCCCTCTTGGGCGTCCTGGCGCGATCTTCGGCCAGCTCGCGGCTGTCCTCTGGGCCCTCTTGGGGGGCCTCTTGGGGGCCTCTTGTGGCGGGCAGCGAGACCCCGCGCGGGGCGCCCACGGGCGCCCGCCAGGCGAGGCCTTGGCGGACCCGGCCGGCGCACGGGGCGCGCCCACCGGGCGAAGCCCCGGCGGGACCCACCAAGGGAGTCATCAGAGGGGAGTTTTCGGACGGCTGCGGGCGTCCGAGGAGGGTCTGGAGAGCCTCGAAGGGGCGGCGAGACCCCCTACAGTGGCTCGAGAGGCCTCCCTCCTGGGGTCCCTCCCGCAGGCCAACAGAGGCGTCGGGCGGCCGCCCCCCGCAAAAAACGCAAGACTCAGACATCCGACGTCTTGGAAGTATCAGGGCGCAGGTTTGAGCCCTTCCTATCACCTGGCCCCCGGGGGAACGGGTCGGGGCGTCCGAGGACCCCGTTTGCACAAGAACAGCGGGCACGGATCGAGGGGTCGAGGGTCAAAGAGGTCGAGGGGCGAGGCTTCTGCCAGCAGAGAGGCGGGCGCCGTGGGCTGCCAGTGCGGGGGGCCTCCCTGCCCCGTGTTGGCCCGCGGGGCCTCCCCGCGCACCCCGGGGGCGGGCGAGCGCGGCGGGGGCGCGGGCGCGGGCCGCTCCGCGGCGGGCCGCTCCGCGGCGGGCCGCGCTGGTCGAGCGGCGACGGGGTCGAGGCGGCCGCCGTGCGCACGACCGCCTGCCGCCGGGGGCGTGGGCGTGGGGGATCGGGGCTTTGCTCTAAGTCGGGCCTGTCCCTCTACAGGAGGAATACTCAAGAATAGTCAAGAGATAGCCTGGGGACGATTCTTGATGATGTTTCGATTATTGCTTGAATACTTTTCGGCTAAATTGTATGTTTCGTCCAAAATCCCCTTGTAGGAACACATGCCCGACCCAAGCTTTGCTCTGGCGGGGGCATCGCTGGCGTCCGCGGCGGTCCTCCGCGCGTGGAGTGCATGGCAGGCTCGCGCCGCGTCGGCGCGGCGGCGGCGCCGGGCCGCCGGGCGACGCCGAGCGATGTGCGCCAGCAGGAGCAAGCGCCGACGGCATCGCGAGGCGAATCGAGGGGCCGCGTTCATGTACATAGCTGGGCGCGTACGTCCTTTGTGGGCTTCCTGGTCAGAGCACGCACGTGCGCGCGCGCACGCTCCTGCAGAGCCGCCCGCGCGCCCCCATCACACCCTGGCTGGTCCGCCGCTCAGGCGAGACCCCGTGCGACCTGTTCCACATCGGCCGGGAACGCCCCGGCGGGCGGGGCTAGGATGAGGAGGGGGGAGCAGCAGGAGGAGGAAGAGGAGGAGGGGCAGCAGGAGGAAACGGAAGAGAAGGGGAGAAGAAAAGAGGCAGAGGCTGAGGCAGAGGAGCGCCCCTCGCGAGAATGAAAGTAGGGGAGGCCCGCAACGGAAGAGAGAGAGAGAGAGAGAGAGTGAGAGAGAGAGGGGGAGGGGGAAACGGGAAGTGGGCGAGGGGGTACCGGGTACACCTGGCACGAGGATCGAAAACAACCTTTGTTTTGGAGGGGTATTTTTCTGTCCTTCGTGGTTGGACTCTCCACCCAAAGTCTTCACTTTTTCCAGTCATCTCGATGGGCCTTTGGGCTCTCGGTGAGGGGGTTCATGCTTTTGACCCACGTTCTTGTGGCCGTATGTTTCGACTGTAGGGGACGGCGGCATGGAGAACGAGTCGGGGGAACAACAACATTCATAAGCATAAATTGTCGGAGTTCCGCAAGCATTTCTTGAGTCGGCGCTGGACCCCCTTGGCGGCGCCTTCAGCGCCACCCCTGGCGTGGTCCGCGCGCAAGAGAGGGTGCTCGAGCGCCCGTCCGAGAAATTCGCGCGGACCTCCGAAAGATTATGCTCATCCTTCATTTCTTCTTCTCTGCCAAGGAGGAGGAGGGCAGCATCGAACGCAAGGGAGAGACAGGGAAAGGGGGGGCGTGCGAAATCTGCTGCGTGCAGCTGGTTTCGGCACCGTCGCTGGGCGCGCTCCTTGACACATGAGCGACGGAAAAACGGGGGTCGTCTGCGCCGACATTGGCGCGTAAGCTGCTCGCGCAAGGTCGTGCGTAAGCGCCCTCGTCTCAAATGTGGCATGCCGCACCAGCGGCCCGCATAAGCCGCGGCGTAAGTTCGCAAGGCCGTCTCGCGTGAGACCCCTTTTAGCTCGTCGCTCCACATGGGCATTCTACGACGCAGGGCGGCGAGAGCCTGCTGCGAGAGCGGACTAGCCCGTCCACCCCCGCACCTCTCCTGGCCGCCCCGGCTTCGAGTCGCGCCAGCACGGAGGTAGATGGGTGCTGGGACGCTCAAGCAGCGGCGAAGCGTCCTGGCTCGCATATAAGCCTGCCGAAGAATGTTCTGAGAACCTCTCGTGGCTTCTACGAGATGTTCTCAGAGCATTTCTGGCCGGGGCTGTCTTGTTTACACACATCGGGCTTATGTTCTAAGGGCATGGTTTTTCTTCTTGGAACATCTCTGGGTTCTGAGAACCTTTCGCGGTGGGCTTACAGGAATGCCGGGACGCGTCGGCTCGCTCAGGACGCCGGGGGGGGGCAGAGCCTCCGTGCACGGCCCCACCCTCTGGCCGGGCAATCGAAGGCCAGACTGGCAGATTGGATTGGGCCCCAAGGGCCAATTTGGCTTGGCCAAATTGGAGGATTTGGGTTATTCGCCAGACTGGATTCGCGTTGGCTCCCTCGCCAGATTGCCCCCGTTTGCCAAATTGGGCCTGCCAGATTGGCGCCAGAGTGGCTTCGACTACCCAGTCTGGCCAGGCATTGGGGGAGGGGGAGGAGCCCAGACGTCGTCGGACGGCTTGGAGGTGTCAAGGACCACTTGTTTGAGAGCTGCGGCATCCGGGTGCCCTCGCCGGGCCCAGAGCTCGTCGAACATTGGTCGTGGGTGAGAGAAAGCAAGAACAAACGAAACGGCCCTGGGAAAAGGGTCGGGACTTCTGGGGTCTCCGCATTGAGGAAATCAAGACGCCGGATGTTCGGGTTGTCGTGAGACGCGGAGTGGACATGAAGGAGCATCGGGAATGAGGGGCCGAACCGAAGCCAGAGATGGTTGAAGAGGGGGAAGGGCACAGGGAGCTGGATAAGAAATAGGGGGAGCAGCCTTATTGGCAGCAGCTGCAGGGCGAGGCAGGACGCCAGCCAGGGATGCAGGCATCGGGCTTGGCGGCTGTTTTTTAACTCCAAGGAAGACTATGACGGCGAGGATCATGAGACGAAGACAATGGCCAAAAGAAATGCTCTTTTCATTTAGTGGCACTGGCATACGAAGATTAGAGATACTGAGGTATGACGACAGCGATCACGGTGATCGTAGTTTCACCAACGGAACAGGACGTCAGGCGGTGCGCATCAAGTGCCTCTCGTGGGCAGAGAGGTAACATTCGACAAAGTCTCGTCCCAGAAGGACACTCCCGCAAGCATCGGCTCTGATTCCCGCCCGGGGAGCGCCCGCTACATGTCACGTGCGAACCAGAATCGGGAGCGGCCACGAGGAGGGTGATGACTAGGGGGGCGTGCATATCATGGCGCAGGTCATGATACCTCCCCTGATTTCACAGCATCTCTTCTTATTTCAATTCGTCCCTTGGCCTCCTGGGCCACGCACATGCCTCGGGCCATGGTTTGCGAACCCCCCTCTTGGACGCCTCCCTCTTGGACCCCCGAAGAAAGAAGCAGGAGTAGTACATCCACGGGCATCGCAACGACGAGAGCTCACCACGGGGGGAGAGACTCCTCGTCGGCTTCTGCAACCCTGAATTAGCCGTTTGCGTCATCGTTCTGACGGATGCCCTTCGTTGCACCAGCTTCCAGAATACATTCCGGCCTTGAGCTGTGAGAGGTAATTGATGTTTTCGGTATGTCGCGATGTAGGTGGTGGAAGTTTATGTGCGTTTCCCGTTGTCGTACTAGTTTCTGTCGAATGGCTTCTGGCCCGCCCCACCACCGTGCCTGGGTTGTGAGTGAAACCCTCTTGGATGTTCGTTAGGATCTCGTGGCGGACCTGTCGTGGGCCTCCCCGGGAGGCCTCCCCCTCTTGGAGCCGTCTTGGGGACCTCTTGGGCCGTCTTGGAGGCCTCCTGGGCCGTCATCGGGCCCTCTGGGGCGGTCTTGGGGCCATCTCGGAGGCATCTCGGATAGTCTTGGGGCGATCGTGGGGGCTCCGGAAGCCGTCATGGAGCGTCGGGAAGCCGAAAAGGCGATAAAACCCAAATACTTCAAAATCTAATTGTTCCGACGGTAGGACCCCGCATGGGAATCTTCCGAAACGAATCTGGAGCTAAGCCTCATCATCATCCGCGTGAGTGCAGGGGCTTTCTTCCCGTCTCCTCATCGCCCGTCTCCTGTTCGTCTTGGCGGAGGCCCTCTCCCCGCCCCCTGCTCTGCCTCCTCCTCATCCTCCTGCTTGTCTTCCCCCATCCACCTTCCCTGCTCTTTTAACAAGGGCACGCAAGTAGGTTTTCCTTGGCGCCTTCGCCCCCACGGCCGGTAGGGGCGCGTTTTCCGATGGCCAGATCGCGAAGCCATTGGGGCAACCCCGGGGGCCAGGCCGTCGGGACAACCCCGCGAGCCGCTGGGGCGCGGGAGCTAGCCGTTGAGATAATCCCGCAGGCCTCGAGCTACTCGCGGCCGCGCTCAGGCGGGAGGCAGCACGAAGCCAAGCTCCGCCGCGAGCTGCTCCGCCTCAGCCATGGAGCTGCCCGCTCTCTTGTCGAATTCCCCGAGCGCCTTCCGCAGGGGCGCCAGTGGCCGCAGGATCAGCATGTTCCGCACGCACGTGGCGCGGGAGAACATGACGTCGAGGTGAAGCCAGGACTGCTCGTCCGACATGCCCGCGCGGTCAGCGACCTCATCCCTGACGCAGTCGACGGCGACGACCTTGCGCAGCGTTTGACCTTGTGACAGCGCGGGGGTCAGGTAGGACGCGCGCGTCAGGGTGAACCCCGAGCGGCGCACGACGTGCAGCCCCGAGCCTGCCACGCGAACTCCTGATCGCTGGGCTTTACAATGGGCAAGTTCCTCGCCCGCGCCTCGGCCTCGCCGTCGTCGTCAGCTCCTTCGACGCCCTGTAGCAGCAGTTCGGAGACCCCTCAGTAGATCGGAGTCTTTCCGAAGCCGCGCATTTGCATCCAGATTCCCTGCGGTAGGGAGCGGGGCGAAGAGCTGGCCCGGCGCGCACTCGTTGCACGCTCGTTTGGGCGAAATTTGAAAGACACGACGGTGGCCCGCTGCTCGCGCACAAGCCCCAATTTCTTCAGCCCCTCTTACGGCCGCGAACCGAACTTCCATGCCGACGCGTGCCACTAAGAGATAAGACGCCGTGGATCTCTTCCGTCTTCAGCATTTCCGGGGCGTTCAGTTGGCGCCGGCCCGCGTCGGAATCGCCGCGAAACGCGCTGCATTTGTCGATTTGCAGGAAAACCAGGGGGGCGCCCAGGCTCCGCGCGTTGCGACGAGCGCGCGCATTGATCCACTTCGCCAGCGTCGCCCAACAAGTGTCCATGCCGCAGCCGAGGCGACATTTCTCGTGCAAGTGCCGAAGGTCCAGGCCGCCGTGGTTGTGGGACAACGTCATGTCCCGCTGTGACCAGAACTTTGGTGGGAAGGGCTTACGCTCGCGCATGCAGCCCACAAGCGTGATCGGGGGGTCCCTGGGTTCGAACAGTTTCGTGCCCTCTCAGCTCGAAGACGCAGGGGATCTGAGAGAGGACTTCGATGGCGTGCTGAATCTCTACCATCGACGGCTTCGCGTACTTGTGCGACCCGTCGTCCAGAGGTTCGCTACGTCCGTCAGCAGGCCGATGCTGCTGGTGGGCTTCAGCTTCAGGAAGTCTCCAGGGTGCAACACGATGAGAACGCGCCCGACGTGGTGGTGCGACCGCTGCTAGGTGGGGACTCCTACGCGTCGTGGGTGTCACCTTGTCCGTAGCAGGCGCGAAGTTCCAACGCGTTGTACAGTGCGGCCGCCACCATGCTCACCGATCCGATGGCGACAACGCGGACGTGCTCCCCCAACCTTTTTCAACATCTCCTGCATGCCCCCCGATTTCATTTTCGTGCTCATGTGTTTTGGGGCTCTCAGAGCACAGGCATTGTGCAGCGTTTTGGCCTTCACCGTTTCCGTGGAGATGTTCTTTGCTTGCGCGTTCGAGGAGGCCACGACCATCATGGTGGCTTTGTGCGGCGCCAACGAGGGCTCCAAATATTCCACCATTGGAAGGACGATATTGTGCACCAAGTGCGTTTTCCCCGAGCCGCCCTGGCCCAGCAAAAGCAAGTGCACTGATTCCTTTCTCGCCTGGGTTTCTGCTGCACGTCGTCCTTCAAGGCTTCTTCGGGCGATCTTGGCGACGGTCCCGCGTGACTGGCCGTCAAAACTGGCCGCAGCGGGGACGCCGCCAAGGCCACAAGCGCCCTCGCTCGCGCCGTCGTCGACGCTCGCGTCCTCTTCGTCGGGAGTGCCTTGGACGCGGTCTTCGTGCAGGGCCGTGATGGATTCTCTTGCCTCGCGCGCCGCCTTTTACAAAAGATCGGTACCCGGCCGCAGGTGCAGGAGCGGTCGCGTCCTGCGTGGGCTCGGGCACGCCCGCGCCCTCGCGGGCCGCCCCAGACATGCACGGAAGCGCTCTTTGGCCAATGTGATAAGGCGCTTGCCGCGCGCGAAGTTCAGCACGTCCGCTATGTTCTTCTCCCCGTCGATACCCCGCGTCGGCTCCAGCGCACAGACGAGGTTCCCGCCTGAGACCTCGTCCATACTCAAGCGTGCAGAGGCCAAAAGTGACGATTGATCCAATATTCCGATGGCCCGTTCGGACTGCTAGCATGAGCTGCGGGTCCCGTAGGTTGCCGCTTTGCACTTTTTCGCAGCCCACTCACAAACGAGGCTTTTGCTTGAGACTCCCCATATCCAAGGAAGAAGCAAAAGTTACATCTGATCCAATGTTCCGACGACCCTTTCGAAGTACTTACATGAGCTGCGGGCACCATAGGGAGAGAGTTCCCGCTTGAGACTTCTTCGCAACTCCCTCACAAACGAGGCCTTCGCGTGAGACTTCTTCCGAATTCAAGCTTGATCGAGGGAGAGGGCTCCCGCCTGATACGTCCTCGCAGTTCACTCATAGACGAGGCTCCCGCCTGAGACTTCCTCCATGTCCAAGTTTGAAGAGGCCAAAACTGACGACAGTTACAGGGTCCGATGACCCGCTATGATTACTAACATGAGCTGCGGGCCCCAAAGGGAAGGGGGCTCCCGTCTGAGATGTCCTCGCAACTCACTCACAGACGAGGCTCCCGCTTGAGACTTCCTAAAGGTGAGCGTATGTGTGACATGGTGATGATGATGATGATGATGATGATGATGATGATGATGATGACGACCATGACCATGACCATGACCATGACCATGACCATGACCATGACGATGACGATGACGATGGCGATGACGATGATGGTGATTATGATGAGGAGGATGAGGATGAGGCTGAAGCTGAGGATGATGATGATGATGATGATGATGATGATGATGATGACGGTCGTGATGATGATGATGATGATGATGATGATGATGATGATGGTAATGGTGATGGTGATAATGATGTTGTTGATGATGATGCGAGGGTGATGTTGCTAACGGTGATGACCATGGCGAGATGTTGATCGTGGTGATGGTGATAATGATGATGGTGATGTTGATGATTGTGATAGTTGCAATGGTGATGACGATGATGATGGTAGTGAAGATGACGTCGAGATGTGTTCCGTTGACAAACAAATGAGTGAGCTCGTGAGTGTGTGTTTGGGTGAGTGCGATAATGGTGATGGTGATGGTGTGATGATGATGATGGCGATGGTGATGTGGGGGTTTTCCTGTTCCTGCGCGGAGGATGTGGGAAATGAAAATCAATGATGTTTGCCTCTTGGGACCCTTTTGGCAGACCTCTTGGAGACCTCTTTGTGCGTTGTGGGGCATCTTTGGCACTTGAGACCGTGTTGGGCGTCTTGGAGCGATATTTCGGCGACTCCGGGCCCTCTTGGACCGTCTTGGAGCCCTCTTGGTCCCTTCCGGGTCTCTCCTGGAGCGCGACATCCTTCCTGGAGCGCGACAAGATGCGACGCGCCCATAAATATGTGAGAATTAGGGGTCCGGGCTCCTGAAAGAATCCTCAGGATTGAAGATTGAAGCTCCTGAAGATCCAATACATCCTAACTCGTGCCTCAAGGGCACGGTGGCGGATAGCTGCATGTTTTCGTCTCGGGCGATGGTCTCGGGCGATGGTGGTCGCCAGAGGCGTTCTGCTGAATGCGGAAGCTTGAGAGCCGCATTTCACTCTAGTGAATGTTTCCAGGCTCTCATTCCTGAAACCAGATTCAGCGTAGCTTCACAACAACTAGCAATGTCGCAGCTTCTATTGACGTCAATACTTCAGCAATCGAACAACAACACAAAACAAAACTGCAAAATGTTGCACACCATGCAATACAACTGGTTGGTTGTTTCCCTTCAGCCCGCCTACCCGCAGGACTGGGACCTGGTCGACCCAAGACTCTGCAAGAGAGCTCCTGGCCTGCTCTTCCTGTGGAGCACAGGCGCGCACGATGAACAACTGGGAGAGGCGTTGGCAAAGGTAGAACAGAACGGGAGGGAGAACGAGTGACAGAGAGGCAGTAACAGCGCAGCCTTATATCGAATGGCCTTTGGCCCATCCCGCCACCGTGCCTGGGTTGTGGGTATAAGCCTATTGGATGTTCGCTGGGATCTCGTGGGAGGCTTCTCGGGGGCCTCTTGGAGGCAGTTTGGACACGTCTTGGGGGCCATTTGTGGGCCTCTTGGAGCTTCGTTTGGGCTTCTTGGGCGCCTCTTGGGGCCTCCTGGGGGCCTGCCTCTTTGGGCGGGGGGCTCGGAATTTCGGTTCGTATTCTCTTCGGGGCCCCTTTGGCGGCCGTCTTGAAGCCTTCTTGGGCCGTTTTGGGCGCCTCTTGGGCTGTCTTGGGGCCCTCTTGGGCCGTTTCGGGGCACTCTTGGAGGGCTCTTGGGCCGTCTTGGGGTGATCTTCGGTGACTCTAGAGCCGACTTGGAGGGTCGGTGAGCCGAAAAGGCGAGAACGCCAAAATCCGACAAAAACCTACAGAAAACGTTTGACTCTCTGGGGCCCTCTTGGGAGGGCTTTTGGAGGCTTCTTTGGGCGTCTTGGAGGCCCTTTGAGCCGTCTGGGGGCCATCTTCAGCATCTTGGAACGATATTTCGGCATCTCGGGTTTCTCTTGGTCCTTCTTGGGGCCCTCTTGGGGCCCTCTTGGTCCGTCTTGGGGCCATCGCGGGCCCGAAAAAGTCACGCGACAGAACGCGAGAAGCCCCGGGGGCAAGGCCGAGAAGATTTGGAAATGTGGCGATTGAGACTCAGGGGATTGGGCAAAGGACCTGAGGACACGCCCACTCAGTGCCCAGAGGCACGGTGGCGGATACGAAAGAGAGCCAGAGGCAACAAGAGGGAGGGCTTATGCACGGGCAGGTATGGACGCAAGGGGCGGTTTCTTATTGGAACTCAAAAGCCCTTACTAGACAGACCGTGGCAGTCTTCCACGCCTCAATGTGCCAGGGGGCACGGTGGTAGATTTAGCAGGGATCAAGGGGGATCGGTACCAGCTGGGTCGGGATGTCATGAGTGCAGTTGGAAAGTGCACGACGAGGCAGAATCAAATGTAAGTTGCAGTGTCCTAGGGGGACACCGACAAGTCCAGGGGGGAGAGGGTACAGTCTATGGTGCTTACGATAGTGAGTTTTCAATCCCACTGCTCGCGCAAACACCCCACTCTTCCCGCAACTTCTTGCAAAATCCGCGCGGTTCCGATTACGGATGTGCTCGGCACTAGTTAGCGCATCTCTGCGGCCGCGTTGCCACGCGAACGTTCGCGCGCAAAGCAGCCAGTCGGTTTTGCACACTAATGCGGCAGCGGCGGCGCGTGCCGATGCGAATTCCCCAGCACGTCTCAAAGGCCGCGCTGTCGCGTGGGCACTTCAGCGCGGGTCGGTGAGTCAGGCAGGCCCGGTGTCATGATGACCTCGACAGCGGCGGCAACGATGATGATGATGATGATGATGATGATGATGATGATGATGATGATGATGATGATGATGATGATGATGATGATGATGATGATGATGATGATGATATTAGTGATGGTGGCGGTGGCGGCGACGACGATTACGACAGCAAGGCCAATGGTGGTGACAACGATGATGATGAAAATTGAGATGGAAATGAGAATGATGATGAACATGATGATGTTGATGGTGATGCCCATTTGTCGGTGCCAAAGGTGTTTGAGTGATGATGGTGGCCATGGCGGCGATAAACGATGCCGATGACGGCTGTGAAGCGATAGTGTTGATGGAGGTGATGGCCAGGGAGTGCGTGCGCGCGGAAATTCAAAGAAGCGTGGCAGATCGTCTGTTGAAAGACATGTTGCTTGTCATATGTGTTTGAAAAGATCTATCTTGAAATGTTTCGAGAACCATGGCGTTGAACGGATGTTGACACACGCGCGTGGCCCGCATCGTGTTTTAGGATACAGATTCGCGCACTGGGCGCAAGCTGGACCAACGCGGGCGCACCGCATGGTCAAATGAGAATGCGGGTTCTGGGCGATACTGCTAACGCCAGATGGTTTTCCCGTGAGTTCAGCAAACGTGCGCGGGCAGAATTCGCAAGATCTGCGATGCAAAACCTACGCGTGTTTGAAGAAGTTCGCATGTTGGAATCATTGCATAACTCCTGTGCTTGGTATGAACTCGACATGTGCGCACGCGTGGACTTGGTGCCATGTTCTTCAGCGTGGTGGTGGATGCGTATACATAAACGTGTGTATACATGTGTTTATATGTGTATGTTTGTATGTGCATATACAAATTATATGTTATATATATGTGTGTTATATATATATGAACAGTTTATGACATATATACCAAGGGGAGGGAGGGGTGGGGACGTGATCAATCAGCTAGTATGATCTGGCAGGGATGGGGACGTGCGATACCGGACTGGCTGGGATGGTATTACTGTAGCTGCAAAACGAGCGATGAGGCAGAATCAAGATTCCTTCGTGTGTTGCAGCGTCCAAGGGTGCCCCAGCAAGTCGGGGTTCGGGAGGAAAGTGGATCTTATTATTCTGTCGGAAGGAGACTCAATGTATGCTAACACATGTGTGGTCAACTCCAAAGCTCGCGCAATCATCTCCCCCCACCACCCGCGATCTGTTATTCCAAAAGCGACGCGGCCACGATTGCGGCTGTCGACCAGCACTTGCAAGCGTATCCGCGCTGGCTGGCGAACTCTCGCGCGCAGGGCGGCCAGTTGGTTTCGCACAGCTGACGGAGCCGCGATTGCGCTTCACGATGGCAACTTTCCAGCACGCCTCAAAGGCAGCGCTGGCGCGCGGGCACTTCAGCGCGCGCTGGTGACCCGGGCGGAAGCAGTATCATGCTGACGTCGACAACGGCGGCAGCGATGATGATAGTGGCGGTGGTGGTGGCGATGATGCCGACGACGACGGCAAGGGCGACAACGCGGCGAAACCTCGGCGGGCCCGCCCAGCGCACGGGGCGCCAGCGAGGCGCCCGCGGGGGGCAACACGGCAAAACCCTCGCGGGCCCACCCGGCGCCCGGGGCACCCACGCGGCGCCCATGGCGGGCCCGGCCTGCGAGGTGCCCAAGAGAGGCAGCGCGGCGAAACCGCGTCAGACCCACCACGACCCACCCGACGCAGGGGGGGGCGCCCACGGCAACGATGATGACAGTGGCGGCGGTGGTGGCGATGATGACGATGACGACGGCAAGGGCGGCAACGCGGCGGAACCGCGCGGACCTGGAATCCATCCGGGCCTTTAGGAATGCAACTGAGAATCCTTAAGCATGTCTTACATATGTGCATCGCTCCGGGTCTTGGCCGAGCAAGGGCTATAGTGCATGGCATCGTTTGCTGAACACGTACGCTGTCTGATATTGGACATGCTGGTAGTTGTCTCGGCTCCCGACCCCCCCTTCGACCTTGCCGATGGCATATCACGATGTCTTGTTATTTGATTCGCGCGGGTCCGGTGGTAACCAACAGCTACACTCGCTCGTGGCACTGGTCGCGTTGTGTTGCCCGCCCCACTCCTCGTGGTGCCGTGATTCGAAGAACTCCGGGCCTGGCGGCCCCAGCTGGTGTCGTGAAAAGCTGTGCGTTTTGAGAACCCTGGCACCACTTGTGACGCCTCTCCCATTAAGCTGCTCTGCATGAATACGCGTTGCAAGGCAGGTGGACCAACGGAGAGAGGATCGGTGAAGGCTCTCATCGTCCCCTCCCGCTCCGTGCGCCCAGAACGGCAGAGGCTGTGTTTTTCTTCCTGGGCTGATGCTTGACGGCCCCGGCGCCCGAAAACGGCGTCCGGCCGCCGAGCTCGGCAAAACACATCGAGCCCTGAATTCCTCCTCTCCCTCCTCCCTCGGGCAAAGAGAACTATGCACATGCACCGATCCTGGCAAGGCCCATCCTTGACCCAGGATCGGTGCATATGCCTTCCTGGCCAAGGCAGGAGGGCGTATGCACCGATCTTGAGCTCAGGGTGGGCCTGGCCAGAATCGGTGTATGTGCATAGTTCTCTTTCCTCTAATCATGATGCTCCTGCTTTTGTGATGATAGCGTTCGTCCTCCCAACATGCACGAGCACGGCCCTCCAGGATGGGAGAGCCCACGTGCCCCCCCCGAATCGGCAGGGGCTCTGCTCCACCAGAGGAATCATCAATACACTACAGTGTTCCTCCCCCTCCTCCTCCGCCTCCGCCTCCTCGCCCCTCCTCGTCCTCGCCCTCGTCCTCGTCCTCCTCCTTCTCCCTCGTCCACGACCTCGGCCTCGGCCTCCCCCTCCCCCCCCTCCTCGATCTTCCTCCCCCAGGGGACTTCATGAACGCCGGCTTCGACCCGGTTCTGGAGAACGACCCGCTGTGCGGGGGCGGCGGCGGCCTGCCAGATTGCCCCACCTGGGCGGCGCAGGCTTGGAGCCCGCTCCTTTCTTCTGCTGCGGCAAGAAGGAGGGGGAGGAGGAGGAGGAGGAGGAGGAGGAGGAGGAGGAGGAGGAGGAGGAGGAGGGATGGAGGAGGAGGAGGAGGAGGAGGAGGAGGAGGAGGAGGAGGAGGAGGAGTAGGAGGGAGGAGGAAGGAGGAGGAGGAGGAAAAAGGAGGAGGAAAAGGGAGGAGAGAGGAGGAGGAGGAGGAGGAGGAGGTGGAGATTGGAGCTCATCCTCCCCCATCTGGCCCGTGCAGGCCTGGATTGAGTACGCCGACAAGTGGGCCGTGGAGCTGGCCGAGGCCAGAGATTCAGGCGCGCAGGGGCGCCTTGTGGCCACCCCATCGTTTTTGGCCCACCTTGGACCTCTGGGTCGTTAAAGGCTGGATTATGGTCATGAACTTTTACTTGGCGTGTCGCTCCGCCGATTCTGGCCCACCACGCTTTGGCGCCACACGCTAAACGTGTCCCCATTTCCAAGCTTCAGCGTCCCGAGCTCGTCCCATCCTCCCGCCCCGCGGAGTGGAGCGGCACGCCGTCAGCTTGCAGGGCATAGCGTGTCGCAGGGGCCGCCGCCGTGTCCCTGGGGCCGCCGCCGCGACGCACTAAGCAAGAGTTCCCGACCGTGGCGACTTTGCGGCTGATCGGCTCGCGCCTGAGTTTTCACATGTTATTCCGGATGTATTCTGGTCTACTGCAGCTCACGTCAGCTCGCATCGACACACCCTCTATTTGCCTGGCGTGATCCCTGCACATCGATTTGAGAAGAGTCGGCAGATCCTTAGGGGCTGGAGGGAGCCAGAGATTTCGGGGGATCCGCCACACCCCTGGTTCCCCCCTCATCCGCCTCCTCCTCCTCCTCTTTCTCCCTTCTCCCTTTTCCTCCTCCAACTATTCCTCCCTGGGCCTCCTCCAACTCTGCGTCCATTCCCATCCTCAGTCTCCATCAGCATCATCAACAGAACCATCGTCATCCTCATCATCAGCATCATCAGCATCATCGGCGTAATCATCATCATCATCAAAACCAGCATCGTCGTCAAAATCATCAGCATCATCATCAGCAGCAGCATCATCATCAGTATCGGCATCATCATCACCATCATCAGCAGCATCATCATCAGCATTAACATCATCGTCGTCGTCAGCAGCAGCAGCAGCAACACCATCATCGGCAACAGCAGCATCATCTTCAGCAGCAGCATCCCCATCCTCATCCCCATCCCCATCCTCATCCCTTCCTCCCCATCCTCCCCATCCCTCCTACTCTTCCCCGGGCCTTCGACCTTCGCCGCCGTGCTCCTTGTTCCCGACCTGTGGGGCCCCGAAGCCCTTCGGCCCCCACCCCACCCCACCCCAAGACCTGGCCTCTCGCACCGGGCGCCCTCTCGTGAAGGCCACGTCGGGGCCCGAGGGCGGACCCCACAACACAATGCCGTCCTCCTTCTCCTGCTTCCCCTGCTCCTCCTCCTCCTCCCTCCTCATCCTCCCTCCTCGGCCTTCCTCCTCATCCTCCCTTGCCGCCTCGGCTCTGGGACAGCCCGACGGCTTTCCGACCCTCCCCGCACGGGAAGGGGCATTGGGGCTGCGCTCCACCGCGCACGGCACTGCACACCGAGCCTGGCGTCGAGGAGGGGGAGATGGGCGAGGGAAGGGGAGGAGAGGGCAGGGAGAGGACCGGAAGGCGGAGGAGACGGGGGTGCGGCCTGGGGGTCCGAGCCACCCAACCCCCCCCCCGTCGGGCGCCCTCACGCCCGCCCGAGGCAGGGAGCGGGGGAGCAGAGGGGGCAGAGAGGGAAGGGAGAGGAGGCCGCCAGAAGCAGGGCGGCCCCGAGGCTCCCTTCCCCCCCCCCTTCCTGTGCACATGCGCGACACGCCTGCTGCATCCGCACGGGAGAGGGCGCTCTCACCACCGCCGATCCGCGCTGCTGGGCACCTCCAGGGCGGCCTGCGCTGCACGAGGACGCGCACCGCCCGAGGCCGAAGGCCCCGAGGCCCAGCGCGGGGACGAGCGCCGCCCGAGGCCGAAGACCCTGACGTCTGCGAGGAGTACACTGCGATGACGCCACGGAGTGGCGATGGGTGCACGGCGGCCACGGGCGGGGCCTGGCCACACGGAGCGCGTCCTCTCCTGGTCTGGGCGGGGCAGGACGTCCCACGGACAGCCCGGACCCGCCGCCCCCAACTCTTCGGCAGGGGGGTCCACGGCCTGGCCCGGTCGGCGCAGCAAAAATCGAGACCCTGACCCTCCTCCACCTTCCCCCCCCCCCCTCCCCCCACTCCCCCTCCTCCTCCTCCTCCTCCTCCTCTTCCTCCTCCTCCTCCTCTTCCTCCTCCTCCTCCTCCTCCTCCTCCCTCCTCCTCCTCCTCCTCCTCCTCCTCCGCCACGGCCGAGCGCCCTGTACACATCTTCATCGCGAGCCAGGCGGTGGTCGATGGATTCGAGGCCCTCCTCGCCAGCCACCCTCCTCCAGTCACGGGCTCCCAGGCCGACCTCTGGCGGAGCATCCATCCACTGCGCTGCGCAAGGCAAGCCAGGCTGGTTCCAGGACGAAAAGGTCGAGAGCCACTTCGGGGAACACGGGATAAACGCCAGCCTCATCACGCCCACTGCCGAGGCCGTAAGCAGACGTGCCGACGAGTTGGCCACAGTCAGCGCACGCATCCACCAGTTGCCACAGGACGCCACCGAAGCGGCCAAATGGCGCTACGAGTTCGCGGCTGTGCTCCACAGCGCGGCGGTGGCCATCTGTGGTCGCCGTCCCCGTGCCCCGTGCACGCGGGGAGCGAACCCCACCGCACGGAGCCAGACCCGCGCATCTCCGGTGCGGCCACCCCCTGGGCCTCAAGGCCCACCGGGGCCTGGTCCCGCAGGACCCCCAGACCCACCAGGGCCCGACGACCTAGACTCCTCCTCCTCCTCCTCCTCCTCCTCCTCCTTCTCCTCCTCCTCCTCCTCCTCCTCCTCCTCCTCCTCCTGCTCCTCCTCCTCCTTCTCCTCCTCCTCCTCCTCCTCCTCCTCCTCCTCCTCCTCCTCCTCCTCCCTGCCCCCCTCTGGGGGCATCGACGGCAACGACGAAGACCCGCTCGAAGTCGGAGGAGGCTTCGACAGCGACAACGATGAGGTTGCGTGAGCCTCCCACGCGCCTTCGCACGGACCATCCGGGCCAGCTGGCCAGGACGACCCTTTATCTTGGCGACGTTGGCACGAACGCCGCATACGGTAGTGACGAAGAAGATCATGCGGCTTCCACCGCAAGGAGCCAGATGACCACCAGGTCCTGCCTCCAGGCCCCCAGGCCCCAGGTCCCCTGGCGCCCAGGCCCCAGGGCCCCTTCCCCCTTGGCCCAGCCTCCACGGGACTGCTGGAGCCTTGCGGCACCTGGACCAGCTCACCATGCCCCTCCAGGGGTTATATAATTTGACCCGCCCCCAACGGCCCACCCCCGGCCGAGGACTCACGGGGGCGAGGCAAGGGATCAGTCGCGGAACGTCGCAGCAACGGGGCCGTCGCCCTAAGCCGCTTTGCTGGCCTGTTCCAGTAAACACCCAGCACCCGCTCGCTGCGCTTCTTGCCTCCAGGCACACACACCTTTTTCCAACAGGGGACCGGCTGTCTGGACAGCGACCCCCTTTCCCACCAAGGAGACGGGGACCGCCCAGGGGCAGTCGGCCGCCCTCCGACCGGCGCAGCGCCTTCACCCGTTTTTTGCGGCGGACCGCCACCAGGCCGTCAGTGAGTCCGACATTCGCACCAGCATCTCTGCGCTCCAAGAGCGCGCCGCGCGCCTCGTGCAAATGCTGCGTCGCGCCCATAAACAGGCAGGGCCTCTCCTCGCACGGTCCCAACGAGCCCAGTCCGCATGGGACGCCACCCACTTGGCGTCTCCGCCGCCTCTGCCTCCTGGAGCCCCCCTCCGCGAGGTTATCCAGGCGAGACTCGACGCTCATTGCCAGCGCAACAGCCGCAGTTCCGTTCCTGCGTCCCGCAGCAACGCTTGGCAACGCGTTCCACAGATCACGCCGCGGGTTGCGGCGGGGGATGCCCCTCCGCGACGCCCTTCCTGCAGGGACTTGGAGGCACGCATGCCAAAACGTGCCACACCTGGCCCTTCCTCCGCCACGGGCGCACAAATTGGGAGTGGCAATCCCGAATCGCCACGCCCCTCGTTGTTTTCAAGTCGCATTTTTGTCCGACGACGCCAAAGCGGAAGTTTTCCCACCCCCGTGTTTTCCAGCGGCCCCTCCCGCCAAAAAGGTGGGCGCAGTGGGCGCTTGCAACGCCCAGACCCCCGCGGTCCGCAGTGCTGCGCTCTCCCTTCCTCCCCTCTTTCCTTCCCTCCTCCTCCTCCTCCTCCTCCTCCTCCTCCTCCTCCTCCTCCTCCTCCTCCTCCTGCTCCTCTTGTGGGAGCGTTTTTGACAGTCTCTAGGCCCGTGGGGTCTCCCCTGGCATCCAGACGTCTTGAAAAATTATCCCGGCAAAGCAACCTAACAGCGATGTGTAGAAGCATATCTGGAAGCATTGCCCTTGAGATTCATGTAGGAGTCCTGGTGTAGAATTCTGGTGTCCTCGCAGTCGCTCGTCCTCCTGCTCGTCCTCGCATGTAGGAGTCCTCGTCCTCCTCCTCCTCCTGCTCGTCCTCCTTCTCCTGCTCCTCCTCCTCCTCGTGCTCGTCCTCGTCCTCCTCGTCTTGCTCGTCCTCCTCCTCCTCGTGCTCTTGCCCCTGCTCCTCCAACAGTTGGCTCCGGGCATTGAAAATGTGGCCCGGGAATGGAGTTCTGGGAACTCGAAGAGCACGAAGTGGCCTACAGTTGGCTCCGGGCATTGAAAATGTGGCCCAGGAATGAATTCTGGGAACTCGAAGAGCACGAAGTGGCCTACAGTTGGCTCCGGGCATTCAAAATGCGGCCCGGGAATGGAGTTCTGGGAACTCGAAGAGCACGAAGTGGCCTACAGTTGGCTCCAGGCATTCAAAATGTGGCCCGGGAATGGAGTTCTGGGAACTCGAAGAGCACGAAGTGGCCTACAGTTGGCTCCGGGCATTCAGAATGTGGCCCTGGAATGGAGTTCTGGGACCTCGAAGACCACGAAGTGTGTAACTGTTTGCTTTAAACGACTTCCGCGGATCCCTGTCCGGATGCCGCCCAGACCCCCTTGGGGAGTCATGATGCCCTCTTTTGACCCTATTAGAAACCTATCAGTCTTCGCTGTTAGGTAATTATGTCACTGGAGTTCCCCACGTAGGCATGTTACGTAGTTAATACGTGGTTAGCGGGATCGACGGGGCACAACAGTAGTAAGAAAGAATACTCTG